AGCACCCCCGTTTAGAGCCCGGGCACACCCCCAGCACCCCGTCGCTGCCTCGCCTGCAGCACCAGTGAAGGCTGAGGAGCCTCTCCTGCTGCAGGTCCTGCTGGAGCCCAGGCCCTGAGCTGCCCACTCCACACCTCCAGCCCTGCCAGGGATCGCAGCCTCTGCCCCTGGAGTCCCCCAGAGAACCACTGAATCGTTAGGGCTGGAAAAGACCTCTAAGATCAGCAAGTCCAACCATCACCCAGCAGCACCACGACCCCTGAACCATGTCCCCCAGTGCCGACCCCTGAACCATGTCCCCAAGTGCCACATCTACAGTTTTTTTGAACCCCTCCAGGGATGGGGACTCCAGCACCTCCCTGGGCAGCCTGGGCCAAGGACTCACAGCACAGGAACACCAGGACAAGCAATTAGCCCCATGTTATAATTACTGCAAGGCAACCATTTCACTGCTGATTGCTTTTACATCACCTCACCCACACGGAGCATTAACCCATTTGATAGAGAATCACAGAGTCATTTAAGTTGAAAGAGACCTTCAAGATCATCCAGTCCAACCCTTCCCCCAGCACTGCCAGGTCCCCACTGCCCCGTGTCCCTCACACCACATCTCCACGGCTTGGAAAACCCTCCAGGGGTGGGGACTCCACCACTGCCCTGGGCAGCCTGGCACAGCCCTGGGCAACCCTTGCAAGGAAGAAATTGTTCCTTAGGTCCAACCTGAACCTCCCATGGTGCAACTTGAGGCTGGTTCCTCTTGCCCTGTTGCTTGTTCCCTTGGGAGAAGAAACAAGCCTTTTGCATCAGCGACATCCACAGCTGACAGGGCAGGAAGTTCAAACCCTGGTTCCTGCCTGAAATGATTCATTCCTTAAGAGACTCCAAATGAAATGGCTGCAGCAGCTCTGGGAAGCAGGGCCCAAAAGGGAGGTGGGACAGGAGATGGACAGATGTCAAGCTGCAGGTGGTCGCAGTCTGTGGCCTCACCAACACTCTGCTACTGCACGTATAAAAAACAGACACAGGAGTGTACCAGAAGTAAACTGACATACTGTATTTATTGCACAAATTTCCCCTAAAATTGGGAATGGTTATTATAATACAAGTGCACATCTGGGGAAATATATACAAAAACAGAAGAGATAACAAGTATGTACATTTTACCCAGCATTTTACAAGTACCACCATCTAAATAATTTAGAGAAAGCAAAAAAATTGTCATAAAATGTCTATAACAACTAATAGGGAAAACACAGGCAGGGTGTAAAATCCTTTCTTTTAAATATTGTTTGTTCTTAGCAGCCCAGCGTTTGCCAATTGCAACAAAACCAAATTTGCTCATTTGTGTGCCTAGTACACTTGGTTTCCAGCCAGAAAATTTAAGACAAGTTAATGGAGGTGGGTAACAGTGGGAAAAGGAAATCAAACGTTAGTTTCTATTCACAGAAAAGACTCGTGGTGTCCTTTCCAGGAGGGGATGCTCTAGTCCTATAGATCCCTTTTTGCACTCTGCAGCAGACAGACACACGTACCGCATTGTTCACGTACCCTGTGGGGCAAAGCTTCCCACAAAGCAGGGGAGGAGCAGCTAATGGCAGAGGAGGGTGATGCCCACCAACCACCTTCTCAAGTCGAGCTGCCCAAGGCCTTCCTGGAGCCACAGAGCTCCCGAGCAGCCCCCACACCTCAGCAGGGAGGGTTCCTTGCTGGCACAGCGCTGGGAGGTGCCAGGATGGGGCTGGGGGGCTGCCCAGCTTTTGGGGGACGTGCTCGGGGTGAGGCCCTGTAAGGAACCACCCTGGGGCCAAGGGCAGGGGCGTGTCCCTGGGGTCCCAGCACGCCAGCACCCAGCAGCACCCAGAGCATCCATCAGGCTGCAGCACCCAGAGCATCCATCAGGCTGCAGCTCCACCCCTACCCCCAGCACTCGGCATCGGAACCCGCGGCCAGGGAAGGTGGAGCAGCAAGGAGTGAGGGGCTCGTGCTCTGAGCTCAGTCCTGTAGGTCAGGAAAAAGCTGTTCCCACAGCTCTGCACTCCTCCCAAAAGCCAGATGCACCAGAGCTGGGTGGTGAAGAGAGGACATTTGAAGAGCAGGGGAGGCACAATCCTCAGGTCACACATGAAACACGAGTTTCTTCCCTGCAGCAGTCAGCGCTGGGTTTTACAGGCAGGGGAGGTTAAGGAGAGTTTCAGATCACTCTGCTGATACTGGTGTTGGGCTCACTTACCAACACAGGCTTGCTCCTGCGTGGGAAGGGGAGCGGGTTTGCCATGTAGATCTTCCCTGGAGCAGAGTCTGAAGTTAAAGGTTTTAAATATTCCTGAAAAAACCCACCCTGGGTGAAATCCTGGCCCCAGCGAAGGAAGGGAGGCTGTCGGGGCAGGGACCTCAGATCACTCTGCTGATACTGGTGTTGGGCTCACTTACCAACACAGGCTTGCTCCTGCGTGGGAAGGGGAGCGGGTTTGCCATGTAGATCTTCCCTGGAGCAGAGTCTGAAGTTAAAGGTTTTAAATATTCCTGAAAAAACCCACCCTGGGTGAAATCCTGGCCCCAGCGAAGGAAGGGAGGCTGTCGGGGCAGGGACCTCTCCTATTGTTCTGGTTTATCAAATGGTTAAAATAGGCTTGCATTGAAAAAACTCTGCAAACAACAATAGCAGGCGTGCTGGACTATTGAAAAGATGATTACAGAAAGACATATTTATAGAACTGTTTAGAGAGTTTAGCAGCCACGTGAACACCTAACTCCTGAGCTTCAGTCAGCCATGAAAACCACCCAAAACTCAGCGACATCCACTGGCTGCTAGGACAAACGGGCAAAGAAAAGCCTCTAATGAAGTGTCCAGTTAAACTGAGGTAGTAGAGCCTTTGAAAACATCATCCACCTACCACTGCCCATGTACACGACTTACACCAGCTCGGGTCCATCAGCTTCTCCTACAGTTATTGCATACACAGCGAGGAAACAGCGACGGCTGAGGAGAGGAGAAATGCTGAGAAGAAACCAAACAACACTTTCTGCTGGCAGCTACACACGTTGAGTAGAAAAGGGATCAGTCATCTGAGTCCCCAGAATATTTGTCACAAAAATAACTGGGGTTTTACTATGCTATGGTGGAATCAACGTTCGTTTCTTGTAGAACCGTTCTAAAAAAATAGATCAATTAATTACCTGAGTGATTAAGGGTCATAGTCTAGTTGTTTTTTTCCCCAATGCTTTGGTATAATTATCTCTTGTTGGTGATTTCAATGGCTGGCTGACTGCTGTGTACAGAATATGGTGTTTCAAGAACATTATAGACCATAGAAAAAGTTAGAGGTAATAGTCACATCATTCTGGGGACCCCGTGGGGAAATTTCAGCCAACGGTCTCTTTAGATGATTTTTAACATTTCGACCTCGTGGAAGAAAAGCATCACTTAGTATAAAGCAACATTTCAACATTATAAACATTTAATACTGGTTACAACATCCAGCCAAGAAAGAGACTCTCCATCGCTCGCTTATCTGTTTGGCCTCTTCCTCCCTGTCCCCCCCCTGCCCCCTGCTATTCCCTCTCCCCAGGAGAAAGATCATAAATAAATTATGGAGCTGAGTGTCATTAACAAGCTTTGTACAAAACAAACCGACCCCCCCAAGCCCGGCTCTTCTGCTGGGAAGTGTCCAGAACCTGACTAGGACATGGAAAAAGTAGAAGTTGTTTACAAATGGTTGCAGCTTGAGAGCTGCAGCCCCAGGGAGCTGCCTGCAGACAGCCACTGCTCTCCCCTGCGAGTCTGTGACTGCTGAGAGCATCACCTGCTTCCCCAAGCAGCTCTTCTCCCCTTCCCCAGTAGAAATCAGTTTGCCACTCTGCTAGAAACAGATAAAAAACACAGGTCTTCCAACTTGTGCTAAAATCTTGGCTTTCCTGTGGCTGAAATCTAGAGCTTACTCTTGGTTTTCTTTTTTTTTTCCTTTCTTCATCCTTTTTCTCTAAACGACCAAGCAGGAGAGGAACAGTCTCCAACTGCCTGCACAACGTGCAGTTCTGTGTGGAGGTGCTGCAGCCCAACGAGCAGTTTGTTGGAGTTGCTTCAAAGAGAAAGGAGCCAGAACAAGTCGTCTTCCACTTTGTCACCAGAAGGGGAAAAAGTCAACGCCTGTGGCCTCTGGCTTTCTAGAGGAGTATCTGGGCGACATAGGGAGAGTGAGTGCTTGCCACAGCTGCCAGCAAGGGGAGGTCGCTGGATTCAATCCTGAAAGGAAGCAGAGGAGTCACATTTAACCAAACCCAAACTGCAGCTGGGCTGAACGTGGCCATTAGTAGCCACGCTGCCTGCTTGAGTGTTCAGGTATCACAGAACCATGGACTGGTTTGGGTGCACTGTGACCTTTAAAGCTCATCTGGTCCAACCCCCCTGCAGGGAGCAGGGACATCTGCAGCTACAGCAGGGTGCTCAGAGTTTGGTCCAACCTCCCCTGGGATGGTTCCAGGGATGGGGCAGTGACCACCTCTCTGGGCAGCCTGGGCCAGGGGCTCACCACCCTCAGGGTCAAAAATCTCTTCTTTCTCTCTAGTCTAAATCTCCCTCTTTTAGTTTAAACCCATCACCCCTTGTCCTGTCATAACACACCTTGCTCAAAAGTCTCTCCCCAGCTTTCCAAAGAACCCCTTTAAGCCCTGCAGGCCACCAGAAGGTCTCCCCAGAACCTTGACACAGCTCTCTCAGCCTGGGCTCCCCAGCAGGGGGGTCCCAGCCCCCTGTAAGTGGCCCTGGGGGTGCTGGTGCTGCTCTGCCCCGCAGCACTGCGGAGGGGTGACAGGCCCCAGCTCCCCAGGGAGCCCTGGCAGGGTGCTGCAGCTGCTCCCCAGCTCCAGCCCCACACGTGCTCCCCGTGCCTGCCTGCTCACCCTGTGCTGCTCTGCATTAGAAGATCTTCAGAGCCTTCCTACAAACACCCCTTGAACAGCTTCCCTGCCTGTGCCCCACGCCCCCGCAGAGGTACGATGTGCCTTGCATGGCACAGAGGGTGTTTGCTGCCATGTAGGGACAGTCCACCTGGAGGATCAGGTGCCCCACATTGTTCAGTGGTGACTGACCAGCTAAGGAAGGAGTCTGATAAGCTCTGGAGTGCTGAGCCCACCCTCCTGCCCAGGGAGAAGAGAGACAGGCTGGGGGATCCTCGGGATGAGGCAGTGGCTGAGAGAAGCCTGCAGCCAGGGGTGATTAATGCCACACTAGGGTTCCAGTCCCGTCCTGCTGTGCTTAGAGAAGCCCAGTGGAGGATGTGGCACCAGGAAACCCCGGGCAGCAGCTCAGAGGAGGGTTGTGATCCTACCCCAGCACCACGCCCAGCTCCTTGACGTGAACCCGCATCTGGCCCTTCAGGTACTCGGACAGCATCTTGCTTTTGAAGTAGAGCTCCTGCAGCCGATCCTCCAGGTGCATCACACACTAGAAAGCAAAGGGAGCTGTGTCAGGGAGGAGCCAGAGCCACCTCCAAACCACACCCAGCCTCAGACCCTGTTCAGCTACTGCCTTCTCCTGGCCACGCCGGGGTGAATCACTGGCGAGATATCCACTGGCAGGACTCTTGCTCCTGAGCAGAAGCCTGTGACTGGGCCTTAGAGCCCAATGAACGAGCAGCTGCCTTGACCACAGAGCCACATTCCAGAGGCCAGCTGGGTCAGTGGCACTGGGGGGCAGGCTGGCTGCTGAGGAGCCAACCCAGCAGAGCCCTGCCCCCTCCCTGACCTGTGATGCGACAGGCTGCTGTAAACCCCATCGCCCTCCCAGCTGCCAGTCACACTTACAAAGTTTGGAGATAAATTATGCTTGTACAGCTGAAGAGTGGAATGAAGCAGGTTGGAGACGAGGCTGGAGACTAACACTTCTTTTCCCAGCTTGTTGTCAATCATTCTCCTCTGGCTACTGGCCACTTGCACCGTCCACTTGTCGGTGTCTGCAATAATGCAGACGGCCTCTGCGATGGGCTCATCCAGGACAGGATGCTGCACACAGACAAAAAGGAGAGCAGAACCCTCAGAATCACAAAGGACAACGGGTCCTCCCCCAGCCCAGCACCATCCTGGCCTGCAGGGATGGCTCCCTGAGACGTGGCACCCTGCACGTCCCACCTCCTCACCCCCCAGCCCTGCTGCAGGCAACACGCAGCCTGGGAGGAACAGTCAGTGGTTTATGTTTTCTTCCAGGCTTGAATGCGTGACCCCAGCTGACAATCACATCTTTTGACAGCTGACAGAAAGAGTCCTGACATATCTAACGTACATTTTAAACCTCTAAAACTGAGAGGAGTGAAAACCCAAGCTGCTGCTCCACACGGCCGGGTGTGCTCCCAGTTGTCGCTGGTTTCTGGCTGTGGGAGCGCCAGCAGAGGGAGCGCCGACCCAAGGCTGTGCCTGCCTCCTCCCCGAACCCACCTCCCCTCCCTAAAGCCGCGGGGGCTTTAAACAGGGAGTGCTCAGAACGCCCCCGTCCTCCCCACTGCCTTTATTTTGGGCCAGACCGCTCGGAAGCATCTACCAGAGTCCCACAGGGACCTCACACAGGGGTAGGACACAGTTACTGCTTTACTTGAAGGTGTAAAATCCTGCTCAGTCCTTCTGGATCCTCTCAACCTCTGAATTCTGCAACTGAGGCTGAAGCCTGTGGCTGGACCTGCACCAGGGTGAGGTTCTGCTTCAAGTAAATCCACCTGACAGCAGCAGCCACCTCATGCTGCTGCCCGTGACCTGCAGCTTCATCACACTTCACACACAGCTACACGTGCCACCTAAACCACAAGGGCTTAACCAGCCCCCCGGGGAGTGAACCCCACAGCCACGAGGGAAGGGGACACAATGGGCATGGGCAGGGTGGCTCTGTCAGGACCTCCTGGCAGGTCTCCTCCATGCTCTTCAGGGACAGCCTGCTCCCTGCTCCTCTCCTGCTGGCTGCCCAAGGGGAGGAAAGAGCATCCTCCCCACTGTGCCCCAGCTTCCGTGGAGAAGAGGTGACCTCCAGCACACCTGAGAAGTGGGAGTCCCCTCAGCACAATGTGTTGGTTTCTCCCCTTCTGCCACAGGCAGCACTTTCTGCCACTTTGACTGCAATCCTAAAAAAGGAGTCATGTCTCTGAAACACTGAGCAGCCACTGAGAATCATAATGGTTTGAGTGGGAAGGGACCTTTCAAGCTCACCTGGTGCAACCTTCTGCAGGGAGCAGGGACATCCCCAGCTAGAGCAGGTTGCTCAGAGCTCCATCCACCCTCCCCTGGGATGGTTCCAGGGAGGGTGCAGTTACCACCTCTCTTGGCAGCCTGGGCCAGGGGCTCACCACCCTCAGTGTCAAAAATCTCTTCCTCCTCTCTAGTCTAAATCTCCCTCTTTTAGTTTAAACCCATCACCCTTTGTCCTGTCATAACAAGCCTTGCTCCAAAGTCTGTCACCAAGTTTCTTCTAGGTCCTTGAAGCCCTGCAAGGCCTCCACCAGATCTCCCCAGAGCTTTCTCCTCTCCAGGCTGAAGCACCCCAGCCTCTCAGCCTGGCTTCCCAGCAGAGGGGTTCCAGCCCTGATGGCTTCACTGCAGAGAACACATTCAGCCCCACGAGCAGCACCACGTTGGCTGGACATGCACGAAGAGGAGGGAGCAAAGGCAGCTCCTGCACAACCCCTGCAGCTGGACTCTGTGCCTGGGAAGATGCCCCACCACCTCTTGGCCCATCCTGTGGGCATGCAACCACCAGCAGGCTGCCCTGTCTGCAGGAGATGCTTTCTCTGCAGCTCAGCACAGAGATCTGGCTGCCCAAGGGCACGAGCCTCTCAGGTGGCTTCAGTGGGAGTCTCAGTTTTTGTGCTCCAGATGTGCAGTGAAATGCTCACGTTTTTCAGGTACATTAATTGAGGGAGGAGAAAAAATTGGTGACCTGGGAGAGGAGAAAGCTGAAGAGAGCTGCAGCAGTAAATATTTCCACTGCCAGCAGGTTTGTACGTTCAAAAACATTTGCCTTTCCCTCCTGTGACAAATACATTTACCAAATATAGCTTAATTACCTGCACAGCATGAGACAAATCTGACACCAAACAGTGCCTCAGCTTTTCATCACTTCCTATGCCTTGCAAAACAAAGTCAGGGACGTAAGATGAACAGTAGCCACCTAGTAAGGATCTTCCAAAATTGGCAATGCTGGGCTGGACAGAGTTCACTTCAACTAATTTTGACCTGCAAGAAAGGCACAGCAAAGAGAAGTGCAACAGTGAACAACGAGTTCTGTTACAGGGAGGCCATGTCTTCACATGGATCATAGCTCTTCCAACCTCCAGTCAAGCACTGTCTAAAAAGAAAGAGTTTGAAGTCAGCTCCTGCAGTCAGCCCACTGTGGAAGACAAGGACACGAGCCCAGATTGCAAGGCACAATTCACATTTTTTTCCAGACTGCCGATGTCTCTATATTCTTTTACAACCAGCAAGCTCAAGAGACACTTTTCCAACCACTGATGCCAAGTTAGGCTACATTCCTCCAAACATGTGATGTGAGATGAGGCTCTATCTTTTTTTGTCTCTGTTCCTGCTGC